AATTTGCCCCTGGCCTTGTTTTGACAGATGAGATGGAACTTTTCCATCACCTCTTTCTGCAGATTGTAGTCAATTTGATTTCTATGTATTCCATCTGGTGAGGTCCATGTGTATGTCCATGTCATCTGTTATGCTGTCTAAAGAAGGTATTTGAAATAAACAAACCATTGGTTTTGCAGAATTCTATTATGCATTCTCTAGCATCATTTCTATCACCAAGGCCATATTTTCCAACTACTGATCCTCTATGCTCCCAAACTTTACATTCCAATCACCAGTAATGATCAGTACATCCTGATTGCATGTTTGATCAATTTCAGATTGAAGAAGTTGGTGGAATTCTTCTATTTCATCCTCACTGGCTTTAGTGGTTGGTGAGTAAATTTGAATAATAGTGTTATTAACTGGATTTCCCTGTTGTTGTTGTTGTTGTTAAGTGCCGTCGAGTCGGTTCCGACCCATAGTGACCCTGTACAGGGTAGGTGCATGTATATTATTCTATCACAGACAGCATTGTATCTCATGACTGATGTGTCTATGTTCTTTTTGATGATTAATGCAACACCATTCCTCTTCAATTTGTCATTCCCGGCATAGTAAACCATGTGGTTGTCAGATTCAAAATGGCCAATACCAGCCCATTTCAGCTCACTAATGCCTAAGATATCGATGTTTATGCATTCCATTTCATTTTTGACAACTTCAAATTTTCCCAGATTTATACTTTGTACATTCCATGTTCCAATTTTCAATGGATGTTTACATCTGTCTCTTCATTTTGAGTTGTGCCCTATCAGCAAATGAAGGTTCCATGGGCTTTTCTCCCACAGGCTTTACTCTATTTGTGTTATCATGGTCAATTCTACTTTGAGGAGGCAGCTCTTCCCCAGTCACATTTTGAGTGCCTTCCAACCTGAGGGGCTCACTTCCTGGCACTATATCTGACAGTGTTTCTCTGCTATTCATAAGGTTTTCAGGGACTAAATATTTGGAAGTAGTTCATCACTCTTTCTTCCTAGTCTGTCTTTATCTGGAAGCTCATCTGAAACCTGTCAACCATAGGTGACCCTGCTGATATTTAAAATACTAGTGACATAGTTTTCAGAATCACAGAAACTCACAAGCCACCACAGTACAACAAACTGTCAGAGAAGTGGTGGCCATTTGGTTTTAAGTGGAAACTGAGAAGGATTAATAGTTGGAAAACATGGCCTTACTAATAGAAATGATGATGCAGATCACATGATAGAATTTTTTCAGGACCAATGACTTCTTCATTACAAATACCTTTTTTAAACAACATGAAAGATGATAATACACATGGACTTTACCAGATGGAGCTCACAGAAATCAAACTGCCTACATCTGTGGAAATACATGGTCATAAAGCTCCATATCACCAGCCAAAACAAAGCCAGGGGCAGATTGTGGAACAGACCATCAACTGCTCATATACAAATTCAGGCTGAAGGTGAAGAAAATTTAAACAAGTCCATGAGAGCCCAATATAACCTTGAATATGTCCCACCTGAATTTAAAGATCATCTCAAGAACAGATTTGGTGCATTAGACACTAATAACCAAAAACGAATGAGTTGTTGGATGACATCTAAATATCATAGCGGAAAAAACCAAATGTCATTAGGAAGACGAGAGAAAAGAAAAAGACCAAATTGGGTATCGGAAGAGACTCTGAAACTTGTTCTCCAGCATAAAGATGCTAAAGCAAATGGAAGAAATGAAGAGTTAAAAGAGCTGAACAGAACATTTCAAAGGTAAGCTTGAGGAGACAAAGTCAAATATTATAATGAAATGTGCAGAGATATAGAGTTAGAAAATCAAAAGGGAAGAGCAAGCACAGCATTTCTCAAGCTGAAAGAACTGAGGAAAAATTAAAGCCTCAGCTTGAAATACTGAAGAATTTTTGGGGCAAAATAATGAATGATGCATAAAGCATCAAAAGAAAATGGAAGAATTACAGTCACTCTACCAAAAAGAAATTGTCAATATTCAACCATGTCAAAAGAGAGCATATAACAAGGATCAATGGTACTGAAGAAGGAAGCTCAAAGTGCACTGAAGGTGTTGGCAAAGAACAAGGATCTGGGAATTGATGGAATACAACTTAAAATCTTTCAACAAACTGATGCAGTAGGGGACTTATCTATGCCAAGGACTTTGGAAGACAGCTGTCTACCAAGTGATTGGAAGAGATCCATACTTGTGCCCATACAAATTAGAGGTGACCAACTAGATTTTGGGAATTATCAGACAATGTCATTAATATCACACAGAAGCAAAATTTTGCTAAAGAGAATTTTTAAAATGGCTGTTAGAGTATGTTCACAGGGAACTGCCAAAGGCTCAATATGGATTCAGAAGAGAGTGTGGCATGAGCGATGTTGTTGCTTATATCAGATGGGTATTTGTTGAAAACAGAGAATACCAGAAAGATGTTTACCAGTGCTTTATTGACTACACCAAGGCCTTTGACTGTGTGGGTCATGACAAGCTATGGACAACACTGTGGAGAATGAGTATTGTGGAGCATTTAATGGTGGTACTCATGAGGAACCTGTACATAGCCCAAGAGGCTATGAACAAGGGGGCACTGGATGGTTCAAAATAAGGAAATGTGTGTGCTAGGATACTTATTCAATCTGTATGTTAAACAAATAATCTGAGATGCTCGATTATATGAAGAAGAATGTGGCATTCGAATTTGAGGCAGACTCTTTAACACTCTGTGATAAGCTTATGATACAACCTTGCTTGCTGAAATTGAAGAGGAATTAAAATATTTACTGATGAAGATCAAAGACCAGAACTTTCAGTATGGGCTGCACCTCAGTGTAAAGAAACCAAAAATCCTCACCACTGGAGCAATAAATAACACCATGATGAACTGAGAGAAGATTGAAGTTGTCAAAGACTTCATTTTACTTGATCCATCATCAAGGCAGCAGTCAAGAAATCAAATGATGTACTCCATTAGGCAAATCTGCTGCACAAAATCTCTTTAAAATGTTGAAGAGCAAAATTGTCAGTTGAGGTATGCCTGATGCAAGCCATGGTATTTTCAATATCCTCATATGCATGGGAGAGTTGGCCAGTGAATAAAGAAGGCCATAGAAGAACTGATACATTTGTGTTAGTGTTGGAGGAGCATATTAAAAGTACCATGAACTGCCAAAAGAACAAACCAATCTGTTTTGAAAGAGATGTAACCAGAATGCTTCCTGGAAGCCAGGATGGCTAGACTTTGTTTCTCATATTTTCAAAATATTATCAGGAGGGACCAGTCCTTGGAGAAGGACATCAGGCTTACTAAAGTGTGAGGGACAGCAAAGGATAGGGGGACTCCCAACTCTGAGATGGATTGGCAAGTGGCAACAACAATGGACTCAAGCCTGGCAGCAGTTGTGAGGATGTGGCAGGACCAGGCAGTGTTTCGCTCTGTTGAACATAGGGTCATTAGGAGTCAGAACCAACTGAATGGCATTTAAGAAAATAACAACATTCTAGCAGGATTTCTGGTGTTAGACTGGACTGCTAACTGTTGTTCAAACCCATTGCGGAACCAAGTCAGTAGCACTTAACTAACTAATTAACATTCTAACGAGAGTCAGTGAATATTAAACGTAATACACCTAGAAAGTGTTGGTGGGTAGAGGGGAAGTGGAGTGTGTGCAGGCTGCAGTGTTCTATAGGGTGGTCAACTAAGAGTTGGGGGGAGAAGGGAAGTGAGTGTGAGGATCTCTGGAGAAAGTCCCTGCTTTGCAGCCAGTGCAAGGCTGACAAGTGCCTAGTGAGATCAAAGAAGTGAGTATTGGTTGGAGCAGAGAGAGTGAAGGGTAGGGAAGCTGGAATCAAGGTTAGAATTGTCCTGGGGACCATCCCTATAGGGCATGTGGGTCACTGGAGGGAAATGGGGAGCTATTCCAGGGCTTTGAGCTAAGTGGGACCCTGACAGGTTTGGCTTACACATTAAAAGGATCACTTTGACTGCCTTGTAGGAAATAGGTGGGATGAGGGCAAACAGGGGAGACCAGTTGCTGTGGTCCTCCAGATGGGAAACAATGGCTAGGCAAGGGCCTAGGAGTAGGGAAGTTGACACTTGGGAATCTAGAGAGACGTGGTCTGCAGAGTAGTCATCCTACTGCTTGTCCTCTTCAGAAGGATATGGATGATAAGTTCCTTTTTCTTTAACAAGGAATGAATGATGTTCTCGGGAGCCTGGAGAGTGAAGGCAGACATCACATTTGACTCTGAGTTTTAAGTGCACATAGTTCAGTGTAAGAGATAGATATGGGTACAACAAATGAAAGTTAGGAGTGAGGGCAGGAAATTTCCTGGGTTTTAATAAATGATCAGAGTTCAGACCTAGATCTCTAGTGGCCTCAAGTCAGTTTTCAGTTCTGTCTGGAGATGAGATGGGGCCAGGCTGGGGCTGTGGTTCTCAAAGTGTGGTCCCCGGACCAGCATATCATAATCTCTGTAATTCCTTGTTCTCACTGTTAACTGCCATAGATTGACTTTCACTAATAGTGACCCCATAAACAATGAACCAAAAGTGGCTTTGTATTCAAAAGAAGCTGGAATTCTACGATTGGCCTACTAAAACCCTGGGAATACACATTTTTTTTGCCTCTCGTTGACCTACTGTATCAGAAACTTTGGGAGTGGGTTCCAGAGATTTATTTTACTGGTTGATTCTGAACAAGTTGTGGTGGTACAGTGGTTAAAATGTTCAACTGCTGTCTGAAAGGTTTAAACCCACATTTAAACTTGAGTACCATGGATTTACAGGGTCTTCATGGAGGGCCTGTGACCAGGAGCTCAGGTAGATTACTCCCAGGCACATGGCATCATTTCTGGGCCATGATGCTGTGATCAGAACATCTCACCCCACTCAGAGTTCTCACAGATTATTTCTTTAGAAGCCAGGGGTCCTCCCAAGTTGACTGTGTATTCTCTCCCATCACCTTGCATCTCTCCAGCTTTCTCATTCCCTTGTCTGTATCCACAGAGAAGTTCCAGGTGATTGGTCCCAAGGACCCCATTGTTGCAGTGCTGGGTGGAGCCATCACACTGCCCTGCTCCCTGTTCCCTGCCATGAATGCGGAGAACATGGAGCTGCGGTGGTCCCGGTCCATCTTCCCAGAAGCGGTGTTCATCTATGAGAACCAGCAGGAGCAGAAGGAGGAGCAGATGCCACAGTACAAAGGGCGGACCTCTCTGGTGAGAGACTTCCTCACTCAGGGGAAGGCGGCTGTACTCATCAACAAGGTTCGGGTTTCTGATGATGGGTCATACATCTGCTTCTTCAAGAACGGAGATTTCTATGAAGAGGCCATTTTGGAGGTGAAGGTGGCAGGTTTGTGATTTGTCTATATATTGCAGAATCCTGGAGGGTTGGAGTTCAGAACATCTTTAAGGATAATTTAATTCAGTCCCTCATTTAATAGATGCAGAAGGAGTTTCATTCATTATTTTATTCACTGTAAATGATAGAGAGATTCTAATCTGTGCAGTGCTGTGGGATAATGTACTGGACTGCAAGGTTGTTTAAATAGCAAAGTTAGCAGTAGGTCAAACTCACCAACCACTCCTCAGACCCCCTATACAGTGTTGCTATGAGTCGGAACTAACTCTATGACACTTAACAACAACAATGTGTGCCAAAGCCTGTTGTAGGTGCCTGGGACATATCAGTGAACCAAAAGAGATGCTTTTTGTGTAGAGTTTATATTCTAGATACAGAGACAGAGAAATCACAATAAATAAATAGGTGATAGATGATATTAGAAGGTAAACAGTTCTGAGGACAAAAGGGAAAGTAGAACAGGGGGATATGGGATCAGAATATGGGGGTGAGGACTGAGGAAGGGGGGGGACTGGGCTGGGCCTTACTAAGAATGTGGTGTCTGAGCAAAGGCTTGAAGTAAGTAGTGATTTAGCGAAATGAATATGTGAGGGATGAGAAGAATTCCAAGCTGAAGGAAGAGCTAGTGAAAACTCTGAGGTGGGAGTGTGGCTGTTGTGTTCTAGGCCCACAGTGAGGCCTTGTGACTGGTGGGAGTGAATGAGATGTCAGTACTGGACAAAACTGTGTTCCTGGTGCAGATTGCAGAGGGACACAGATACTGAAGTGTCACTTGAGTTCATTAGGCAAGATTCCAAAGCACCCTCACATTGAGGCAACTGAACTTGAAAAGGTTTTAGGGCACACAGAGCACAGTATGCTTAATAACAATGAACCAGTTAGCTCTTGGTGCTTAGTGTAGGTGGGCTCTGAGGGGATAAGTTGGGGGAACTGGGGCAGGGGGAGTTTGATAGGAGGCTTTGGGGAGGAAGGTAGATGCTGAATTAGAGCAGGCTCTGTGTTCTATGATGTCCTGTTCTATGGAGTCCAACTGGACCACAAAGTTGGTAGTTCCAACTCAGCAGCTGTTCCTTGGAAACACTGTACAGGGTTTCTGTGAGTCTGAATCTACGTAATGTCACTTAACAGTAGCAACAATGACAACTATGTTCTGTGTTATAGAGTTTGGATGCAGACCTGAGGAAATGTTAAGCAGAGCAGAGCTGGGAATGTTCACTCTGGTAGGGAGAACACCTGGAGGCATGGAGTGTAGTTATGAGGCTGAGAGGATGACTGTGGGATATGAGGGGTCAGGCAGCAGAGAGATTTAGAAAGTAGACTTAACTGAGTGAGTAGATTTGGGGACACTGGAGTTTGGAGGTGGAATTGGGGATCACAGAAATTCTCTGGATTTTGGCTTAGATGTTTGCAGTTTAGTGGTGGGAACATTGATAATGATGTATTAATTACCTATCACTGTAATAATGTTATGTAACAATCAGTTCCAAAATTGCAGTACTATATATCAGCAAACATGTATTTAACTTGAGCATTTTAGCATTCAACTAACTTGGGCCAGGTTTAGCTAATTTCAGCTGCGCTCCTTCATACATTTTAAGAGGTAACCATGTGCACCTTGGCTGGGTTTTCCTATGATAGGAGTCAAATGGCTGATTAAGGGTGGTTCATCTGGGAAGGCTAGGGTAACAAGCTGGTGGTCCATGAGTCTCATCCTCCAGCAGGCTGGCCTGTGAATGTCCCTCCCATGGAAATAGCAGAGGGTCCAATGGCACATTACAAACCTTTTCTTGTGTTACATTTGCTCATTTCTCACTGGCAAAATCAAGTCCCATGGCCTATCGAAGAGTCATAATGGGAAAGCATACAAAGTGATACAGCAAAGGGCGAGTTGGCTATAAAGAAGGATGAAAACCAGGGCTAAATTTGTATTCAATCTACCATTTATTGTTGTGGGTAAGAGCTATTAAGTTGGTTCCAACCCATAGTGACCCTGTATAGGGTTTCCTGGGATTGGTTAGCGAGCTTGTACTGCAGACCTTGCAGTTCAAACCGACTTTGCAGTCTAGTGCATTAAAGTCTAGTGCAGTCTAGTGTACCACACCATGGCAAAATTATGAATTCTGTTATGTAATTTTGAGTTTGAAGTGCATGTCAGAAATCCTCATAAAGTAACCTTTGGGGATGAGGATATAAAGGAGGGAAATTTGGGAGACAGTGTTGCTTACTTGACATAATTTTGGGAGTGATTTACAAAGAGAAGCAGTGGGAACAAAGAGAAGTGTGATGTGAGAACAGAAATTCAAGGACCAAACCCTTGTACTTCTCCTGTTTTAATGTGTAGGGGGAGGGAGAGAAGTCCAGGAAAGAGGCTTAGCAGGGTGGTCTGAAGAGTAACATACCAAGCAAAAGGGAATGGTCACCAAGCCAAGATGGAGCTGGTTTCAAGATGATGTCAGCAAGGTCACATGCAACAAAGATGAGGAAGATGGGCAGCAGTGTGAGGGCTGAGATTCTAAGAAGGAGATTGTTGTTAGCTCCAAGAGTAGACTCAAGTGAACAGTAGGAAAAGTCAGACTTCTGGGGACTGAGATGTATGTGAGAGATGAAAACATAGAGGTGTTCTTGGATTATGAAGTTTACTGTTCTAAGAGGGGGAGAAGAAGACTGTAAAAATTTGAACATGTGTATGCATTTAGAAGAAGAAGCAGATGAGAGGAAGAGATTAACAATAAGGATGGGGTGGGAAGAAAGAGGTGAGAGTGAGCAAAGAGGAGGATAGGGAAGGGAGGTGATAAGTGATGGGACCAAGCCCTAGAAGAAGAGACAGTGGCCTGTCAGTTCCAGAGCTCAGAGGCTTAATTATCCATGAGTGAGGGAGAGTTCCTCTCACTTTGTGAGATGTGACAGGAAAATGAGAGTAAGATCAGTTTGGATAAAGAAGAATTTGTGAGTAATTGAAACAAATTGAAGGAACAAAGCCCACAATTTCCTAATTTCAAATATTTCTTATTTACTAGCATAAATTTATCAAAAAATTTTGTTTCACAACATCTTAGGGCCTAGTTTATTTTCTGCCCTTGAAATGTTTTTGTAATAATGCTATATTATTTTTCTGGTCTGGTCTGAGTTTTGTCCATTCATTTATGTTTCCTGGGCTGCATGTCAAGAAAAGAAACATCAATTTTCTTTCTTTCTTTTTTTAAGTTTTTATTGCTAATTGAATTTACAGGACAGATGATCAGTTTTACATTAAACAAATCATACACCTTGTTTCATTACAATGATTATAATCCCCTCCATGTACCATCAGAAAACAGTATTTCTCTCTATTCTATTGTAGACTTTTTTTTTTTAAACACTCAGGTATATACAATAATTTACACCACCAAAGGGCACATTCTGCAAGTCTGTCTTCTGACCACCAGTTTGCAGTTCCTTTCATCCCATGAATCTAGAGTCCTCAGCTGCTCCCTCTCTCCATGTCCCCACCTCTGCCTCCATCTCTGGTGTCACTGCTTTTCTGGATAAGGTCTTGCATTCTGCTTGTGCTCCTCTCCTTTGATGATCCTAAGGTCCTTTGTTTCTGGATTGTAAGATTAACTACTTCCCCATTTTTGTTACAAAACTTCTAACTTTATCATTGTGACTGTGGCAATAATTATGATAACTATTACTATTGAATCATAAGAATCTTATCCTATCTCTTTTAACCAGACCCATTAAGACAAGATGAAAACTATTCAGTGGGGACTCTTTCTTCCCCTACACACTCTTAAACTTCCTCTTGAAAACCTTGTAAGCCAGTCACTTTGTGCATTTATCATCCCCTCATTTTAGGTAGCCAGTATCAAAGTTGCCCATCCCTATCTACCCTGTGTACAGAGGGGATAGCATTGAAGCTTGATGTGAAGACTCCTTCATTCTCTGTTGGCATTTAGAGTTACTACCTCCATGAGTATAGGTCAAGTTCATCAAATTGTAGCAATTTACACTTATTTACTTTATAAATTTTTAAAAAATCTTCTGATTATCAAGCCATCGAGACTAGGTCAAATGGGCACTATCTGCAAGTTTGGGTGTACTTATACATGCATCTCCCCTGACTTCATATCAGCTGGATGCTTCACTTTTAGCTCTAGCCTTCTGTGGCTATGTCTTTGTCCATGGGTCAGGTGTCCCCAGGTCTCACCACACTTTGGACCAACAAGCCCTTCCTCTTCTCTCTCTCATCACCAGGTCAGTCAAAGTCTACGGACCATGGTTGAACTCAGACCATTTCTTCATTGCTGCCTTTTCCCCCTCTTTTCCTCACCAGTAGACCAATGTGGTCGCCAGCAAGTTTACATGCCTGCTCAGGTGTTCCCTTTGATTTTAAATCTCAGAGGGGAGTTTGTCCTGAAGGGACTCGATTGCTTGCCTTGATGGCTTCCTGGTGAAAAACTTGCTTATTCTTGTAGTAGCCAGTCATACTGACATTTTTGTTTTGGGTTTTCCTGATCATCTTTCTTTGAAGCTATATCTTCTGTTGCTTTTGCAGTTCCAGGATGGTCTGCTTGTCCTTTTTAGTGGACTGTCCCACCTCCGAAGGTTATGGATGGGGCTCAGGTTTCCACTTGAGGTCCTATACAGTGCAAAGGCTTCATAAGAGCCTATTTCACTGGGCAAGTTCTAGAACCACTTTTAGGTATTCCTATCAGTTATAGGCTGAAGACGGGCTTACAAGCTTTCTGTAATCATTTTTTCCTGATATTCCTTTCTATCCCACTCAAGTGTCTATTTTACAATAGTAGGCAAGGGAAACCAATATTCATAAGATAGTCAAGCATCTTAGTATTATTTCCCCTCTTCAAATTATGCCTAGAACAACAGAGCCCTGTTGTTCCAAGGTTGAGCATGCATCACTATTGATCTCTGTCCCATTTTCCTTCTGCTTTTAAAAAATGTTTTCTCCTGTGTGCTTGTCTCTCCATTTTTGTGGTTAGAAAGAGTTGTCACCCTGTTGAGTTGAATTGAGTTTGACATATAGGACAGAGTAGAATTGCTCCATGAGATTTTCTAGGATGAAAATATTTTAAAACATCTTTTGAATTGCTGAGCTAGCATTTAGCAACCCAGCACTTAACCCAGTATGCCACCAGAACCTCTTAATATGCAGCTTCAGAGCTCTGTAAAGAGTCCTTATGCTCTTTTCCAGGTTCCATTTGATGAAACCTGTGCTTTACTGTCACTAGGGGGCGATCTTCCATGTTGTTATTAAGTGCCCTTGAGTCAGTTTCTACTCATAGCCAACTTTCTGATTGAAACCAACTTTGGAGCCCAGCACCTTAACCAACAGTGTCACATCAGGACTCTCAACCATAGCCCTATCATCACTAGGGTGTGATCTTCCCATGTTGTTAATTGCTCTTGAGTCTGTTCTGACACATAGAAACCCTGTATATACAGTCTCCTAGGAGCAGCTGGTGAGTTTGAACTTCTGATCTTAGAGTTTGCAGTCCAGTGTTTATCATGCAGTGCCACAGCAGAACTCGAACCTTCCCAGAGAACCTCAAAATTAAAGAGTAAAGTTTCCCTATGAGTCACACTTCCAGCATCCGAGGCCTGCACCTGGTACAAGGTGGCCACTCTGACTCCATAGCTTCCTTCCTGCAGGTGTGGGATCTGACCCTCAAGTGCACATTGAGGGACCAGAGGAAGATGGAATCCGCATGGTGTGCACAGCCTCTGGGTGGTATCCGAAGCCTCAGGTTCAGTGGAAAGACCCGAGTAGGAAAAAATTCCAGGCTGTCTCTGAGGCCCATGCTCAAGATGCTGAGGGGCTGTTCAGTGTGGAGGCCACGCTGGTGGTGAGAGACAGCTCTGTAAGGAACGTGACCTGCTCCATCTTTAACCCCGTCCTGGGTCAGGAGAAGGTGAAGATGATTTTCATCCCAGGTCAGCACTGTTTCTGCTCCCTGCAGGGCTGGAGGGAGGAGAACAGGATCTCTTATTTTGCTGGGCTGGGCTGGCCTGCAGTGTGCCCTGACTGTGTCTCTGGCTGGGCTGCAGAGCCCTTTTTCCCTCAGGCTTTTTCACCTTGGATGCCAGTTTTTGTGGTGAGTCTGACCATACTGATGATCCTCAGCTTAGGGCTTGGCTATTTTCTCAAGAAAGAACATTCAGCAAAGGTGCTCGTGCAGAAGGATTGGAAGATTCTTGAGCAGACTAAGGAGGAGGAGGAGAAGGAATGGAAGTTGGCCATGAAGGAGGCAGGTAAGAGAGAGAGGGTCTGTGTTAGACTGGGAAGGGCAGAGCTGGTGTTGTGAGGAAAAGTTGAAGGCAGGAATAGAGCTGGTAGCAGTGCTTTCCAGGGAGACCCAGGGCCCCTGCTGAGAACAGGAATCTCAGGAGATCCGGAGAGGTGCACTATGGGCCATGAGGGCTTGAATGGGTCTGGAAGGAGAAGTTTCTGCAGTACATAGAGGGAGTCTTTATGTGTGGGTTCTGCAGGACAGTCTTTTCTTTTCTTATGTTTAGAGTTCATGCTTTTCCCCCCCGCTTCCTCTTTCAGATGAATTCCAGAGAGAGCTGGGTAAGTTATTTCCCTCCTGAACTCTCAGTGTCCCGTTTGGGAAGACTTTATAGTTTGTATTTCACCTTATTTCCTTTATGTCACCTTTCAGACTGGAGGAAGGCGATTTATCACACTGGTGAGTAACTCTCCAAATGCCCCTAGGTCTCCCATCCCACCTGGGTCCAAGTATGCCCTCTCCCTGTGCCTGTCAGGCATAGATATAAGGACTGTGCTCCCTGGGGCAGAGGTGGAAGGTGGTGGGAAGCAGAATTCTGCCCCTGGAACTCTCCTGTATCAGGAGCTCTGTTCCCACCCAATATTGAAATCTGAAATCTGTCATGCATCCTGGGTCTTCTCATTCCAGCACTGGCCTGTGTCCCATATTGTTAGTGTTGAGCCTTCAGTGCTGCTGGCTCTCAGTCTGCACCTGGAAGCTAAAAAGGCAGATGTTCAGGGATTTCATGAAAGGAGCTCTATAAAGAAATGGGGTCATTATGTTTAGGGCTATGACTTACTGCCCTCCCCATGTGACGTCCCAATGGCACTTAGCAACAAGAATCCTCCTCTCTGTTAGTGTGAGTTCGCCCAGTTCCTGAAGGTGCTGATGGAAAAGTGATGGGGAGAGGACTGGGATGCATAAGCAGAGAAATGTCGTGACATGAGCTGAGAGCACCCAAGAATATTATCTTTGGGAAAATATAGATCTATTTTAGATGGGCTGGCTAATTTTACCTGGAACTGGTCATATGGTTTAGTCTATTTTCATTCCTCCTCCTCATTATTTTCCAGATATATATTTCCCAGAAAGTGACTAAATATTTTACTGCTCTCTTATGATTCTGTAACAATTTATATTGGCAAAATAACTTCACATGTACTTTAAAAAAAAAAAAAAAGTTTTATTGTGAATTACGTGATAGTTAATATGCCTGCACACACACACACCCCCAACCCCCCGGCATCATCACCAGCACACAATCCTCTCCCTCTCTGGGTTTAGATTCCCCAGCCACTCCATCTCTCCACATCATTGTCTCTACCTCTATCTGTGGTGTCACTGCTTCTCTGGGTAGGGTCTTGCACTCTGCTCTTCTCTCTCGATGGTTCCAGCAACCTCCGTTCCTGGACTGCATAGTCAATCACCCCCTTCTTTTGTTATAAAATGTCCACCTTCACATTTCCAACCCTTGCAATCAGTCCTGATAACAAATATTCACCATTGTACCACAAGGGACCTATCCCCATCTCCTTTCACTAGCCCCACCCAGACAGATTGGATACTACTCAGTGGAGATACTGCCTTTTTCTGCGCCCTCTGGATCTAGGCTCCCTCTTGAAAGCTTGTAAGCCAGTCACTTTTTGCCTTTGTAGCCCCTCATTTTGGATAGCCAATGTCCAAGTTTCCCATCCATTTCTACTCTGTGTATTGAGGGCATGGGAATGATCCTTGCTGTAAAGATCTGTTCCCTCTTTTGAGCTACTGCATCTATGTTGTTGTTGTCAGGTGCCATCGAGTCAGAACCAACTCATAGCGACCCCATGCACAGCAGAACGAAACAATGTCCGATCCTAGGCCAATCTCACTACTGCTGCCACACTTGAGTCCATCAATGATGCCACCTGGCTGATCCATCTCGTTGGAGGTCTTCCTCTTTTTCTCTGACCCTCCACCCTATCCAGCATGACATCCTTCTCCAATGATTGTTTCCTCCGGACAATATGTCCAAAGTAGGAGAGACAAAGCTTAGCCATCCTGGCCTCTAAGGAGCACTCTGGCTTCACTTCTTCCAAAACAGATCTATTGGTTCTTTTGGCAGTCCATGGCACTTTCAGTATTCTCCTCCAACACCACAACTCAAAGGCATCAATTCTTCTACGATCTTCCTTATTCACTGTCCAGCTTTCGCAACCATATGAGGCTATTGAAAACACAATGGCCTGGGTCAGGCACACCTTAGTCCTCAAGCTGACATCTCTGCTCTTCAATACTTTAAAAAGTTCCTGTGCAGCAGATTTGCTCAGTGCAATACGTCGTCTGATCTCTTGACTGCTACTTCCGCGAGTGTTGATAGTTGATCCAAGAAGAATGAAGTCCTTGACAACTTCAATCTTTTCTCCGTTGATAAGAATGTTGTTTATTGGTCCAGTGGTGAGGATTTTTGTTTTCTTGACATTGAGATGTAATCCATATCGAAGGCTGTGCTCTTTGATCTTCATAAGTAAATGTTTCAAGTCCTCTTCACTTTCAGCGATCAAGGTTGTATCATCTGCATATCGCAGGTTGTTAATGAGTCTTCCTCCAATCCTGATGCCACGTTTTTCTTCATAGAACCCAGCTTCTCGTATTATTTGCTCAGCACTGCATCTATAGGTGTAGGTCAAGTTCATCAAATTGTACCAGATTACTCCTTTTTTCCTCTTTCTTCTAGTTGAGCTCTGATCATCCAGTCATTGAAGCCAGGTCCAGTGGATATTATCTGCAAGTGTGTGTGTCCTTGGGCTATGCCCTCTCTTCTTATCAGCTGGATGCTTCACTCTCCACTCTAGTCCTCTGTGGCTATGTCACTGACTTCACATGTACTTTTGATATTAGTGGAATACAGGCAGGGTAGGAGTATTTGAGATTATTGAAGAAGAAAACAGGCAATTGACTTGCCCAAAGTCTCACAACAACAGTAAGGCTACTTGAACTTGAAATGTAATTCTGGATTCCTGACCTGTGTTCATGGAAATCTCTTACCATCCCAGTCTAGCTTTGCATTTGACAGTTCATCATCTCTTTTCCAACATCTGTCTCGCTCTGCATAGTCACACCTTTAGAACAGAGGGGTGGCAGGTGGTCAGGGGATTCATGGTGATTATGACTGTAGTCTCACTAGCAGTGTGTTCCCTTTCAGCCTGGAGAAAGGCCCAGCTGTATGCAGGTAAGTGACTCTTAACTTTTTGTGGCCTTATTTCCCACATCTCCAGGAACTTCTCTGTCTTTAGCCTGTCCCCTCCTCTATCAGTGGTCCCCATGCCAGGATAAGACTGGCATCCCTGCACTTCTTGTCACTTTTGTAACCTAAAACTGCAGTGACTTGTCTTATCTGGATCTTTTTTTTTTTTTTTTTAACTGTAGGCCACTATTGCGGTTAGCGGTACCCTCTGAAACAGCTGGTTTTGCTCTCAGTGACAATGGAGAGCTCAGTTGTCAGGAAGGATCAGAGTCAGGTAATGACTGTGTAGATCAGTACTTCAGAGTTCAGAAATGACACCAGCCAGTTTAGGAGTCAGATTTTATTTCAGCAGTCCTTGGTTCTGGAACTCTCTGACATGAGGATCCTGTCTTTCTGGTTCTGGTTTTTTATTTCTTCCTGGTCTGCAGATATTGATCTTCTGTTCCTCATGTTCTGACTGCCTGCTGGTTGCTGAAGAAATAGTTGCTTTAGAGCAGTGTTCTGAATCTGGGGTTCAAATACCCCTAAGCCTTTATAGATGGACTCCTGGTTTGGCATGAAAATATAAAAAAATTCAGTATATGCATATGTGTAACAGAAGCAAATATGTAGTATATAATTGCTCACAGCCATGATCTCCCCTCTTAGGAGAATTCTGTATTTACCTCATGAACTCAGAGTCCAAGATTGGGCTCATTATGGGTTGTTGTTGTTGTTAAGTGCCATCGAGTTGGTTCCAACCCATAGCGACCCTGGACAGGGTTTCCGAGGGTGTAAATCTTTACGGGAGTAGAAAGCCTCATCTTTCTCCCGCGGAGTGGCTGGTAGTTTCGAACCACTGACCTTCAGGTTTGCAGCCCTATTCATAACCACCATGCTACCAGAGCTCTTTATGGTTAATGAGTAAATATTGTAATAGAGAAAACCTTGGGAAATTAGAATTATTTACAAGGGAAAGATGGGAAGAAAACCAGGGAAGAAAAGAATAGGTGGAGAAGCTCTGAAACGCTTCTGTGGGAGAGACACTTTGTGGAGGCGTTAGATAGATCACAATGACCAAAAAGAGGCCCAAGTTTTCGTGGTTCAATTTGGAGAGTAGACAGATTGTTTGCAGGTCACTTGGGTACACAAAATGTAATCAACACCTTGACACCTCTTTGAAAGATTTCAGTAAGGATTACATTTATTTTTAGCCATTTAAAAAAGTAAACTATTAATTGAGTTTGTCCCTGATTTTGAGATCATGTTAACCCTGTATTAGGGGAGGGAACTGGGGTATGGTACAGGCTATCTAGTGGACCTGTAAGTATTGTGTGTGTTTTATGCCTATGTAACATTCCATTTCTCTGCTTCAGGGTGTTTCTGCTCACTGTCAGGGATATGGGTCTTAAGAGACAGAGAAGGGTGATCCAGGGGAGCAAGGAGATCTGGGAACCAAATGTATGAGGAACCCATTTAGAGAGTCTTGCTGTTTCCCCCAGTGATTTATTTGCAAACTTTGAGGGTCACTACAAATAATAAGAAATAATGAGATGATCTTCTTTCACTTTGTTGTTTTTAAGTGCCATGGAGTCAGTTCTGACTCAGGATTTCTGAGGAGCTGTGGTGGGTTTGAATTGCCAACCTGGTGTTTGGCAGTCCAGTACTTATCCTTTAGGTCCCCTTTCTGGCTAAATTGAAATCTCAAATATTTTAATGTACAACTTGCATATCCTTTTGTTTTGTAAGGACTAACACCCCATCACACTAGACTCAGCTGGACAAATGTCTGACATCTATTTTTTTTATAAAATTATATTTCATAGCTTAGAATCTGAAGGCTTTTTGCCTGTGGATGACTCCAGCCAGACAAAGCTTATACCCAGGTTTAAGTATTCAGATGCCAATTTTTCTTGAGTTCCTCATGAACTCTGACTGTCAAACTGCCAAAATAAAAAGCAATATATTTGAAAACTCATTTTTAGGCTTTGTTCTTCAGGCATTGAAAGAAGAGCAGGAAATCCCCATCAAGGGCTTTAATAATTTCAGGGTCATCTAGTTCTGACCTCATACCCTGGGTGTCTCAGACACAGCCTGTAAGCTTTCCTATTTACAGCCATTCCTTCCCTGCTTCTGTAGGTCAGGTGTGCATCTGTGATGCTGTCAGTCAGTCCTGTTGTGGTTATAGATTCCTTTGTACTCTGTGCCTTATAACAGGTCACTATGTTGAGGTAGAACTTTGGGATTCATCATGGCATCATATCGACAGTTTCCCTCACCTGGGTAATCTACATTTGTTTTTTTCTTATTTTTACTTTGGAGTCCTAGTGTGGTGATGTGGGTTAATGTGCTGGACTGCAAGGTTGTTTGAACTGCAAGGTTGGCAGTTAAAGCTCACCAGCCACTCCTTGGAAACCCTATATAGGTTGTATTCTTTCACCATACTTATTTAACCTGTATGCTGAGCAAATAATCCAAGAAGCTGGGTTCTATGAAGAAAAACATGGAATCAGGATTGGAGGAAGACTCATTAACAACCTCTGATATGCAGATGAT